CTTTGGTAACCAGGGTTTTAGGTGGAAGGGTTTGTATGTTAATAGCAAGACCATCATTATTGCTTGCAATACAAAGGTGTATTAACATACTTCCTTGCTCCTAATAAAATGCTGGCCATGTATAGAAATTACCTTATTTTCACTGGTGGCTCACTACCCTTAAATAGTGAACAACTATACCCAGTCCTTTGTTTCCTTTGTTGTCGCAAGCAGAGACTGGACTTGCAGCACCTCTTATCATGCTTATTTTCTGTTATTTTTCATTCAATCACTTAAGTTTAAAAGTTCTTTCTCTTCTTCCTGTATGATAATTTGGTTCTCTACCACATTACCAGTACTTTAAATGCAAGATAAATCAGTATAACATGATTTACATCTGGAAAGATCCAGGTTGCACTTGCGTTGCGCTTTCTATTTATGTTGTAGTCATTGGTTACTCTTGGTTGCATTCCCGTTAGAACAGTTGTCATAAGGTACTGAAGAGCACTGAGTTCACATTAACAGGGCTGTTTTCAACACAGATTCTACATTTCTTCTCCAGCCCTAGGCTGCTATCCCAGAAAATGTCCTATTCATTGAGAATCCTCGTGCCTGAGTTTGCAGTTTTGATATATAACCCATTTTTTCAGTGTTCTGGGATGGAAATTTTTAAAGCAGCCTCATTTCATTTTAGTAATGGATGTGGTAATTTTCAGTGCTTTGTCCTTGTTCCCATGAGGTATTCTGTCTTTGTCCTCATACGCAGCATTATTTTGACAGGAAAAAATGATGCAAAAAGCTAATTTAATATTTGGTCTGTCCTCTTCATTTCTACTCCTTGTTGACACCCGTTCTTCATTTCTTGCTCTTTATTTCTTGTTGAGAAACCTTTTGTTTGTCTGCAAGTTCCCATTTTCCTGGCCTCCTGGCAGTTTTCATTTAACTCTGCAGCCTGACCTCTAAGCACTAGCTCTCTTTGCTCATCAGTCCCTTTTTCCATTCCTTGTAGGTTCTCTGCTTTCTCTTAATACCCTGCTTTGAGGTGCATTCTCATGCAGGTAGGTCTGTAGCCCTTTCCTTTCCCCTTTTTTCTTTTACTTGTATGGAAAGACCCAGAGAGTGTTTGATTTTAAAGTAAGTCCATGCCTTCCATACACTCAAATCCAATCGTGTATGTGTTTCATATATCTTTGGATGAAATCTGGGGTTATGGCCCATCAGGGAAAGAAGGGATTGCTCTTGAAACATTAAGAAGACTGTTAGTTATTTTGGAGTCATGCAGCTGGTGAGGCCTGTACCCCCTGAAGGTTAAGGAAGTTTGACTTGCCTTTGGCAATTGCTGTATGTTGTATAGGCTGCTTACTTCCAGATGGCTGCTTTTTCCTTCATGTAAAAACCATGGAATTAATTTTTAAAAGTGGCATTTAAACCACCTGAATCAGAAATAGTTTTTTCCTGGTGCTCGGGGTGTCTGCACAAACACAATGTTTTGTCAGAAGGTCAGTCATTTTGGAAATTTCCTGGAATTCTTTCAAGGTTTCATTTTTTTTTGTTATTTTTTTTGTTAAGTATGCTGATGTTTCATTTCTGTTTGTGTTGAGACACGGACCTGTTTGACAGTTTTCTTTTGGCAACCCAAAGGCATAAGAGGACAGTTCATTGTCCCTTTCTCCAAACGCTTGTGAAAGCTATTACAGTGAATGCAAAGGCTGCTCTTTGGAGTCATGGTAATCACTTCTGAATCTTCATATTATCAAGGATGAGAAAGATAGAACTAATTTTTCAAGCTCTGGCAGTTTTGGAATATAGCCTGAAGTGGTTTTGTGTACATCTGTGTCACTGAAACTGCCTTCAGAAGGCTGTAGGAGGACTTGGGGTATAAGCCTGCATTTAAGTTTGTGAGGTAAGGTTGTGTGTGGATTTACAGTCTGTCAGCCGCTCCATGTGTACTGTGCCATGAACATGTTTGTACCATATGGTAAAGCCACAGAATTGCCCAGCTAGATGTGAAGGCAGTAATCTGTGCATATGGACACAGCTGAAACATTTGGGTCCAAGAACCGGCACAGGAACTTCACATTTGGACTCTGTCTGTGCTTCCACAAATCCAGGTCGTTCCAAGTTGGGGGTTTAGCAGAGCTACTGAGCATTTTGTTTCTGGCTTCTGATCCCAGAATGGGGCTCAGTGCTCTGCCGTGTTGATTTTGATAGTGTTAATCCTAGAGTTAATAGAAATTTTACATTACACATTTATGAATTTCATTTAAATCTAGCAGGGACTCCTTAATGTGGTTCAGTGGTGATGTATAATGCTTGTCTGTTACCCTTGGGTGCATGGGGGCTATATGAATAAAAGTTCCTTTTTCCTCAGTTCTTTTTATTTGGGAATAGCTGTTTTCTTTTCTGGGTCTGCCCAAAATTTCCAAAGTCCACCCCTCATATGTGTCTTAGGGCTTGATGAGGTGATAGCAAGAGAGAGATTTGTAAGTCTTTCAGTCTGTTTGTTAGCCAAGGCATCCCTCAGTATTTATGTTGCAAGATTATTAAGGCATGGATAACAGTATTTAGTACTGAAAGCTTGAAAAACTTAATAATGGACTGTTTATGTTTTGTGTTATTCCTCTTTATGGTTTTCCTTTGCTTTAATGAGATGGAAGGTAATTTACTGTCATTAGCAAATGTCTGAGCATGTTCTTCAAAATGAGTTTTCAGCACTATGGTGGGGAGTCTGAGGGTTATATCTGTAATCTGATGGCACTTTGGTTGACTTTCTAACTTCATCATGGGTCGGTGGGTGTTTCTGTAACATGTGGCACTATGCTGAAAGTGGATGTTTACATCTGGTATGCATTGGAAGATTAAGGTAGAGAGGATGAAGTTTTAGGCAAGTATGTGTTTTTTGGATGAAGGATAAAGTGAGAATACTTTTATTTCCTCTTAGATTTAAAACATATCGTTCTAGCAATGCCTTTGAAACTCTGCCAGCTTTGCCAACCGTAACATTTATGGCATTTTGGACCTAAACTGAACTAGAAAACTGTTTTTAGTGGCAGAGAAAAAGGTTAGTGCATGAAAATAGCTAGCCCTGTTATTGACTGCATGTGGTCAGTGGTTTGGCTGTGTGTAGGTGGCTCTTCCTGTCACTGTTTTCAAGCATAAGCTTTTGTGATGAATATAAAACTCTTTCAAAATGAGTTCTACTGCAGTTCTTTTGCACAGTAGTCTTTTGCTATTCAGTAGTGCTTATTTTGCTTTTGCCATTTATATTCAATTTTGTACTAAAAAACAAAAACCAAAGTGGCTTTTTAAATAAAGCTTATGATTCCTGTTGACATCAGAATCAAGAGGTTTGAAGAATGTGGTCCTCTGTGCATAGCAGCTGCTTCTGTCAGTAATATTTTATACTGTGTTGTTGAGTCTCTATTGTAATTAATGCTGGGATTGTTTGCAGTGGGCAGAAGCTCCCTTTTAAATGTGCACACGCATCTTGTTTAATTAGGACGTCTGTGTAAACACTGAATTATAACTTCCCTTTTCATACTTTCAGTCTTGACAGTAACATTTATAGCAGTTTTTTTCAAGGTCAGCTTCAGCTTTGCTATTGTGTAGAAGACAGCTTGAAAGTAACCTGGTGTTTTGTTTTCTTCTTTGGTGTAGTATACAGGGTGCTACCTCAGAGCTCAGGGAATTGTGAATTTTCTATCTCCTGCTGCAGAAGGAACTTCAGGGCACAACAGGTTCTGTTTAGCTTTAACTTCAACAGTTCAATGTTATCCTATTTATATCTTCAACAAAAAAAAAACCAAAACCCTGGGTGATGGAGCTGTAAATTGTGCAGATTGCGGATTGTGTAGATTGTCTGGTGTTTTCAGTGCAGAAAATTCTGGCGAATCTTGTTTTAGCAGCTATCAGATGCAAGAGCTGCTTTCATTCAGCCAAGAGCAAAGTACATTTGGTTCTGCAAGATGCTGAGAGCTGCAGTAAGAATTAGGGGCACGGAGCACTTCATGAGTTAGTTCCATTGCTGTTAAGCATTGAAAACTGAAGCAAAACTGTTTAGAGTCTCCCCATGTTTGGGTATAAATAACTTACAGAGTTATTCAATTTTTGAGTAACTGCAGAAGAATAAATAAACAATGAAATAACCTGTAAAGCTGCTTAATGTATTTGTCAGTCAGTCCTTGGATAAGTGCGTCTTGATCCCACAGGCCAGACACAAAGGAAACTTGCACAGGTGAGGCTACTTGTGTGCTCACCTAAGAACTTTAGTTGTTACCTATGTAAAAGAATGACACAATACCATTTAAACCACAAAATGTACTTTTAACATTCTTTAAAATGTTAGAAAATCTCTAGAAGCTGTAATTATTGCAACTGGAGGTTGAACTTACTGTAGCATCTTCTGACAATATAATATAACTTACAGGTTAAGAAATTTCTCTTCTAATGGAAACCAGGTCTTTTGAATTCTGTAATGAAGACACAGCTGTTGTTCCTAAGCATGTTGGTGAAAGACTGTCACTAAGCAGGAAGTGCTGTGCATATATTTGTAAGTCTCACTGCAAGAGAATCTTAAGTAAGGTGGATGTAAGCATTGCATTCTCAAATGTCGTTTTTTTAAGAAAAAGATACTGCATTTGCATGAGTTTGGGGTCATGCAAAACACCCTCAATAACAGCAAGCTATGTAATGTGTTTTGGGTTGTTTTTTCCTGGTTCTGGTTTAGGACTGGGAAGCGCTTGATAATTTTGACAGCAGTAATTGCCACATTTCAGGAATGCTCTACTTGAGACATCTCATATTTTGACGTACTGCCTAACTGATAACTGTTCCTCATCAAAAAGGTGTGAAATATGAAAATGATTGAGATTATTAGTATCAGTTCTCAACACAGATTGATAGAATGGTATCTTAAGAACAGCACACAGCTAGCTGATGACCTGTGGTTTTATGTGATGTATTTGGGGGGGATCTTGTTAGCGCCAATTAATGATTCTCAATGCCTCCTATTTGGATTGTAGAGGTTGGAGACCTGAGGGAGCTGCAAACACTGGACATCTCAACCAATCGCTTGATAACCTTACCTGAAAGGCTGCACATGTGCCTTTCACTGCAGTACTTGACTGCAGACCGAAACCACCTGTGGTATGTTCCGCGCCATCTGTGCCAACTGCCGAGCCTCAACGAGCTCTCCATGGCTGGAAACCGCCTGGCGTTTTTGCCACTTGGTGAGTCACCAGCATGCCTGGGCCGGGGTGGGTTGGAGGAGACATGGCAAAACAAACTTCCTGTCTTTGGTGGGCTCCACAACCTCTGTTTACGGAGTTGTCACAATGATCATACTGTTGGAAAACACGTTATTAAACAAAAAGAAATGCAGGTTAAGGTTTCACGTCTGTTTTAGAGCAATAGGTCAGCTATCAAATTTGCTTTATTTTTAGCTAACTGAGGGGAAAAAAGTTTTAATGATGCGTGTTTAAATATACTACTATGTAATCTGAGTTCCACCACTTTGGGTAATGATCTGTTTCTGTTTGCTGGATCTGATGATTTAAATAAGATTCTTCAGCTTGGGTTTAAAACCTACTGTGGAATTTTTCATCATTAGGAATGTCAGTACTGCATAATCTAGCAAAGGTTCAGTTTGGGCTCTGTATAAGCATCCTTCAAAAGCTCCACAGTAGTAGCCCAGGAAAGAATTTATCAGCCTTTTTCTCAGCCCTTTCAAAGTCTGCAAGTGTCAAAGCAGGTCTTCAAGTGTAGGAGGTGCAGTTGGTGAGTGGTGGTTTGTTGTGAGAAGTCAGTTGTGTTGTCAGTAAGTGTGGACTGTATATTCTGTTTGTGAAAAGCCAGTCCACTTCCCTGCGTTTGTGACTTTGTAGCCCTGCCACCAGCTAGTCTCTGCTGAAATACAGACAGGCATGAAGATCTGTCATGTCATTTGCATAGCCATTAATAGTTTTCCTAGAATACAGTCTGAGTCTGGTGTTAATTAGGTACAGATGAACACACTGAAAAGAAGCTGAAAATTGAGGGGGTTAGAAACAAGATAATTTCTAAGTGAATTACGTTGTATAAGTTTAACTTCATTTTTTCAGTACTAGAAGTTTAGTCTTTAAAGAAGTTTATGATCTTTCTGATTTTCTTAGCACCTTTGTTTATATTCCTGGAAAGCAAGTGCTCCAGACACAGTGTTTTAGGTATGTCCCAGCAGATGTCATTATATAAGTGAGAAAATGATTTCCAGGATGCATCATTCAGATTCCACAGTACTAAATAAACCAAGCAAAGTAACTTCCCCTATTTTGGCAAATACTTCTAACTCTGTTTCATCAGACAGGAAGTTGAATCTTACGATTTTTGCAAAAGTGAAATGCTCTTCTCTAAGATGAGATGTGAAATGTTAAAGGGCAAAAGCTTTTGCTACTTTTGTGCTCGTAGCTTATCTGTGAGGGAGCAATGACCTGGATGAGCTACAGATCTGCTGAAGTGTTTTAAGTTCAAAAGGAGGAAATAAATCTCTAATATAATGACACACCTTCTTTTTTCTTTATTTTTAGATTTAAATTCAAAACATTCAAAAGGAACTTTTAAAATAACGGGAAACATCAAAGACTGTCAATTGACCTTGTTCAGTAGTTCTTAATAGTGACTCACTGGTGAACATTTGGAGATAATTTGCTATCTGTGGATATGAAACTGAATCATAAATCCTAGAGTTCAGAGAAAAAGCAGTGCAGTATAAATGTAAATGTTTAATCCTTCCTCTGAAGAATCAGAAGGCTTCGGAGTGGTCAAGATGTGATGAAATTAAGTAGAAGAGAGAATTAGATTCACTCTTTTTGCTTTTTAATGCACTATCTCCTGATCTATGGGGAATATTTTTCTGTGATTATTCCTGGGGTGAAGGCATAATTGTAGCATCCTTTCTGTTACCTGCGCATACTGGCTAATGCTTTTTTGTGTATGCGTTCTTACATCCAACTTCATTCTAGTGGTTAATGAGAAAGTAAAAACATTAAATAACAAAGAAAGATACTGTACAAATGTCTGCAAGTGATATTCAAGCAAATATTGTAATTTTTTTTCAATTAGGGAGTTGGAAAGCTGACATTTTATTCATCTCCTCACAGAATGGTTTTTTTGCCCCTTTTTTGATTAGGCATGTCCGCGTTAGAAGAAATACGTTTGGAACTGACTGCTTAATGCATTTTAAAGTGTGATTTACTTTATTTCATATGGTGGTTGACATCTACTATGCCAAGGAATCCATTCTTCCTCATACCTAGTGTTCCTTGAGCTGCCAGTAAAGCCTCTTGTTAAGTGTAATGGAAATCTACATTTTCCTCTTCTAGTTTGACAGGTGTAGGATTTACTCCTGCAGTAGCACAGTACTTTCACAGCACTGCTGCATTGGTACTGTGTAGTTTTTTCTCCTTTACATTCTTACAAAGTACATAATTTTAGGCACATGCTTTTAAGATAAAGAAGTGTAACACTATTAATCCATTTTACAAATTACAGTAAAAATACTTGGTCCCAGTCTCTAACTTTCAGAACCGGTACATGAACAAGCAGGTGGGTGAACTAATGGAATAGTAGTTTTTTTCTGCAGAATATACTGAATTCTTGGATATGCCAATATTTTGTTTTTAAAAAATACTGTTTTAAAGCTATTGAATATTCCAGTTTATATTCAGAGAAACAAGACTGCATGGATGTGAGACTTTGGGCCTTCCTAATACATTTATTTAACAAGAATCCTAAATTGTATGTATAAGTTGAACTGGAAACTGCACCCTGGATAGGGCTGTTATTGCCTAATAATAAATGGCCTTTGGAATTCTGTTCAGGAGCGGCAGATAGAACTAGTGCTCATTTTATATCAGTCTACTTACAATATAAATTATCCTGTGGCAGAAATTTAACTTGAAGATTTCACAGTTAGCAGATGCTCCAATGCCTCAAAACAAATTCCACTGCAAGCAGGAATTTGAATCTGATGACACTGCAGAAATAAAAATGATTTATGTAATAAAGTACAAATACAATTAAAATAGGCCATAAATTCTCAAGTATACTGGCAGTCCAGGGGATGTTATGACAGCAAATATTCAGTGTTATATCACTTTATTGAGGGTGTATGTGCACTTTTTGTTTAGAAAATGGGTCTAGTAATTATCAGTGCACAGTAAACAAAGGTCTTATTCTACCCTCAGTATATGCTGCTTTTGTGTCCTTGCCCTCACAGTATGGTTAAAAGAGCATCAGTGCAGACACACAAGAGCTTTTGTTCCATCTTCAGCCATGTGGAATGCATATGCCAGGGCCCTGAGGTTAAAAAAAAAAAAAAAAAGAAAAAAAAGGGGAAAAAAAGGAAAAAAAATAGAATTGGGGTTTGTTCAGGACTTACGGCATTTGGTCATTTCTGGGAGAAAGGGCTTTGATCTGGGAGCTTGGAAGGAGCAAAGTGGAAATGTTTTAGACACAGTACAGGGCTTGCAAAAGCCACATGAAAACCTTCTTTGTAGCTGTAGCCTTGCATAGATGGACAGTATCCTTATTTCATGGGGTTCTTCAGAAGCTCGTTTTCTAGAGAACTTTTAACAATATTTGTTGACTGATAGAAGACTTAAAAATCAATGCGGATGGGATACAAAGAGCTTTTTAAAGTGACGATTTCTTTAAACGTTAGGGGTAGTGTTTGAAACTAGAAAAGATAATCTCTTTTGGGGACTCAAAGATGCTTGGTTATTTAATGCAAAGAAACTATATCAAAGGAACATTTATAGTTACAGGCTATTTGGCTTGGGGAATTGAATTTTTCCTACTGAGATATTTTGTCTAACATCCAAAAATTTGCTTTAATTACCTAGGAAATGCAGTCAACTCAGAACTTCAATTCTAAACATAGCCTAAGATAAAGACAGAGGGAAGAGATGAGATGCAGCCTAACTCCCCCCTCCATGCATATGAAAAGAACAGCTTTAGGGCTTTTTTTGACTTGCCTGATTTTCAGCCCATTTGCATACATCTGTGTAGAAAAGAGCAAGATGAGCCTCTTTTAAAAATTTTCTTCCATTCTCTAAGTTAATAAGTTAAACAGTAGCACATTCAAGCTGCCCCAGCAACCCATAGTTTTCTGCTCTTCTGGGTATAATTGGCTTCTGCAACATGAGGCGATATTCTCGCAGCATGAGGTGTGCCGTGCACGTGCTATCTGCTTTACACTTTATTGGCTGATTCTTTCCCAGCCTTACAGTATTTGATGGTGTTACAGTGCTTTAGTATCACAATATTTTTATTCATTGTTAAGATAACAATGTTTTTGTTTCATCTAAAAATATCGCAGAACTTCACTAAACTATTTTAAGCCCTGCAATCCTGAGCCAAAATAAATCATCTTTTTGAGGTGTTAGCTCATACCGAAGCACAGCAGCATCTCCCAGCAGTTCCCATCAGTCAGTGGAGATATTTGTAATTGCTTCTTGGGGTGGGACACTTGATGGATGCAGCAGATAGGTCTGTGAACCTTTGGTACAGGGTCAAAGAAGCGTGTGATGGTTGAACATGTCCCCTGATGTCCAGTGACTCAGTTGTTTGAACAACGCTCAGATTACAGTCCCTGAAGCTTCCACAGACTATTGCAGAGCCTATATTAAAAGAAAAAGAAAACCAAAACCCTCAGCTTTTCTAATGTTAACATTTTTATTTCAGAAAAGGGATCTATTCATTTTCTTTTGGTATTCATCACTTGTTCTTTATATCCAAGATTTGATAATTGACACCCTCTGAAGCTTCTCCTCAGCTTGAGCTTTTAAGGTTTCTGGTGCTTACAGCTGTCATTCAAGTGGGTGACAGCTGAAGACACTCAGTATATTTTAAGATGACCAGAAGTTTGGGGGGGATCACTCAAAATATCGTCTGCACTAAGCAGTGTCCAGAGCTCTCATGTACGATAAAACTGTTCAGTGATAAGGAAGGGACTCTATAACCTATTGTCATAGTAGGGAGATTGTGATTCCAACTAGAATTTGTGAATAGAAATATCATGGAAATTGTTTTAATTTTTTATTCTGTTCTTAGCCATGATTACAAAAGGGACAGAAGCTCTGCTGATTTCTCTGGTTATCTTTATGCCAACCAAGATAACCGACATTTGATAAAGATGGGAAATCAGAATTAGTCGATGTCAGTATTATCTTGCAATGTGGCTGATTCAGCCAAATGCTTGTTTATCTTGCTTCAGTTCTATAGCACACTCATCAAAGTTTTAAGTCGAAAGGCATACAGACTTCTTGATTATTTAATTTCTTTGTAATGCAGCTGGTCTGGGTTGCAGCTAACCCCTCCCAGGCAGAGAGGCTTTCAGACATTGTTCCCTTGCCTTGTGCTTTGTATTAAACGCACATGTCTTTTCCTAACCCAGGATCTCAAACGGCATAGGAGCTACAGATGAAATGGGCTGCCCGGATGATCCTACATGTTAGCTTTCTTGCCAGCTCAAAACTCTTTTAGAATATTATTTTTAGTTCAGTTTGATTTCTCGTTTTCCATGTCTCACATTGGCACGCTTTTCTTTTGATAGCAGACAGTTTTTCACTGACGAGATCTTCCTGATAAGCAAAAATCTTGTTTCTTCCTAGAAGTCTAAATTTTCCATTTTAATTTTGCTCAATTTTCCCTCTTTGATTTTCTAAACCAACTCAAATTATTCCAAGCCTATATGCTTCTATCAGGCGGTATGTTAATATATTTCTAGTCCATGAAAGTATTGCTTAAACATGCTGTACTTGCTTCTTTTGATTGCCAGCCATAAGTATTTTAACAGAAATAATTCAAGAAGCACACCTTCAGGTGCATTGATTATTTAGTTGTAGATACAGCTTTTGTTGTGTAATGTCATGCCTTTGATGCTTGTATATTTTCCTGTGTTCTGTAATTTACCACATCACATAGACTAGTTTCTGAATGGTTACTGGTTGTATTTGGTTATGGCTAATGTAATTAAACAAGTTTCGAGAAAAGAAACAATGGGACCGACCGCATTCTTGTTTATGTCTTTACCACTTTAGTAAAAATAGCGAAGCTGTGATTTCAGTGACATGGGGCTGGTTAATGAAAGCAGGTTTGACCTTATGAACTTGGAAGTATGCACTGTGGATTTGAAATCAGTTGTCCCTTTGCTGCTTCAAACTGACTTCAGGGTTTGTCAGTGTTAAAATTCAATTATTTATAATGCGATTTTCAGAGCTACTGAAAAGGGGTTTGGTTTTGTTTTAGTAATTTCAAAGGATTTTTTCTAAGCAGCTTTTCAGCTCATGCATAATAAAACCATTGGCTGAAACTTTACAATGGAGAAGTATTAATTTATGTTTGCTTACATTGGGTCTGATCAGCTTATTTATAATTAAAGAGAATTGCTTTGCTTTTCTTGCTTTGTCACTATGTCATCCCTTCTCCCCCTGACTTTTCTTGTTTTCTAAACCCAGATTTAGGTCGTTCTCGGGAGCTGCAATATGTTTATGTGGATAACAACATTCATCTGAAAGGCCTCCCATCTTACCTGTATAATAAAGTCATTGGTTGCAGTGGGTAGGTATGAATTAATTCAGCTGTCTTGAATACCTGTTCCTTGTAAAATTTCTCATAATTATCTTCCTGTATAATACAACTGATTAATTCATATGTGTGCATGACTGATTCAGGACTGGTGTTAATTTGGGGGGATTACTGCAGCTCCCAGTTCTGTTTGATTTTTGTAATAAATCCTCTATGCTAATTGCTGACTTTCAGTAGTTTAGTATTAGGTTGTAACAGACAGTGCAGTTATTCTGAAGGAATTTGTAATGATAATGTAAGGCCTAAAGCCGAATCCTGGCTGCATTTAAAGGTTGGCCAAAAATGCAGGGTTCGCAGAATTTCCAGAACTAAAGAATGAACAAAGTATTTTTTAATGTGTTGCAGCAAATAAGAACTTTTTTAGGAGAGGTGGATTGACAGGTATATTTTTACATGTGGATTTTAAAAATATCCTAGGCTGTCTCATGTTTGTGGTTAGGATGTGAGGAAAATGAAGTGGTTTGTCTAGGACACTAGCTGAATTCTTTCTGCAGTGCACTAGCATAAATTAGGATCAGCACCACCAGTTTACTGGTGTAAAACTGATCAGAAGAGGATTTGTCCCCATTACCATCTAATTATAAATTTCTGGTGTGCTCACTCTCAGCAAATCTTGCATTAAATATAAATTCCATCTCTACAGCCTGCACTCTCCTGCAATATGTGAGATGCTGAGTCTTGGCATTTTAAGGTTTTTCTAATATTCCCTGTCAGCTGGTTGGGTGATATTTAAGTACTTGCAGTTGGATTATAATTCTGCTGCACTGTCTGCAGCCTTGAGCTGCCAATAATTTTGTTTTTCAGGAAAAATAATTCCTAGGCTCTGTTCTTTCAGAACTGATTAAAAATCCTAAGACAGACATTAAATTGACCGTAAAGGTAATAGAACTGTGTAGATTGTGACCAATAGCACTAGTGACAACGAGTTGGACCAACAAGTTTGATCCAACTGTCCTGTGTATATCAGGTGATTGTAAATAAGAATGCCTTTGTTTTTTAATGTTTTAAGTCCTTATTTTATACTCAGGCAAAATAATTTTATCTTTGCACTGACCTTTTGTGAGGATATTACCAGTTCTTTTTGCTGTGATTACATGTACAGTCCTGGTCAGACTATAGCTGCTAGTATCCCTGATGGAGGCCATTCACATCTAGTATGGAAAAGACAAAGTTGGAAGTGTTGCAATGAAATGAATTCTTGTAATGCTTCTGTGGAAGAAATAACGTGATGATTTTTTCCCTTAATATTAAAGAATAACAAGTTACTACTTTTGATAAGCAAGCCAGTATTTGTGTCCCAAACAGATATTTGTTGTGAGACCATCCTGGTTTCACATCATCCAGCACAGGAAGAGCACTTACACATTATTAAGAAACCAAAGGTTTTATTTGATAATGTGCTGAGTGATGTTAAAATTATGTAATAATAGTCATGTGTGGAATTCCTGTGTTCTTTCCAAGAAAGCATTAGTAACCAGTTCAAGGTTTTCATGGATCAAGAGAGAGTTGAAGACCCAGGCTTTCATGCTCTTTCTGGTCATCCACTGGAGAATCAAATCCGACATGCTGCTATTAGTAACATAAAGCTAGATTTCTGAAAATAGAATATAAAATTGCATTGTGCAAGTAATGAATCTCTGTCTGGGAATCCTGCAGTCAGACTGACTGAAAAAGTCTTTTATATAAGAGGTGATGATCTCAGCACTCAAAATAAATTTTGATCTTATTTGCTGCAGATTGGATTTCATAGTCTCCAGCTAAGGTATCTGTCAGTCTTGTTGGAGGCAGCCAATGGGTGGTCGCAGCCTTTTTTTGTGCCCTCAGTTATTTATTCACCAAGCTGCTTCTGCAGCATCTTTTTTTCCCAGCTAGTTACACCATCCTCTGTTCCACTTCTTAACCTCCATGGATTCTGTGTGGGGTTTTCCTTTGTATTCTTTTTGCACCAAGGATTACTCATGGGTTGAGATTCATTCCCTAATCCACCCTGACTTAAGGATGTATATCTCTGGGAGTATTCCTTTTGATGGTCTCTTTTGTTTAGGGTTTTTTTGCTCTCTTTATGACCCTTTACATAAAGTAGACGAAATAACCCAGCTCTGAGCTGCAGAAACTATAGTGAGTGTATGGGTGCATCTTCTAGCTAGGTTGATAAGGGGTTAATCAGCTTGAATATACAACATGATAGATTTATGTGTTGTGATAGCTAACTCATTGGTATGGATTCCTGGGGAACGGATTGTTGGAATACTGGACCTCTGAATTCCCAAATATATTTTAACCCCATCAATGGTTTGTGGGAAAACATTAAATATTTAACAAGAGACTTCCTGACTTGCTGTTTGATGCTGCTCTTTTTTGCTTGTTTCTCTGGGCTGTTTTTCCTTTAATCAAAAGAAATGAGATTCTTTGTTATGGAGGAAGTACTATGATATTTCTTTCACATCTGATAAGGTCGAGCGTAGTTACCTCAGTTTTAGGTCCAATATCTGGGAAGGCTGACAAATTTGTGTTTCTGTTCCATTTGTTAGGACTGGCCCTAACAAGTTGCTCTTGGCTTCAAATTTAAGTTGTCATAAACAATTCCGATTCCCCTGTTGACTTCCCCAGCCTCTTAGTAGAATTTTCCTATGTGTGTCTCCTTGGCATGGTAGCTTGCAATAGGGATCATGTAAAGAGTTGTTATTTTTACTACAAGCTAAGTTTCTCTCCTTGGATCCAAAATAACCTTCTTTTTCCTGATATGATTTGGGAAGGACAAGGCTGTAGACTCCCTAGGGTATCTTCCCACTACAGCTTAGGCTGTTCTTTTTACTTTTCTTTCACACCCTGCACCCTCCAAGGGAACTCTGTGGATGGGGAAATGTATGCTACAGAATCATCCGTGGCACTTAAATGGTATTTTTTGGTGATTGTAATTTGCCTCATGTATTATAGTTGAGAAATCCATTACCATTCTCAACTGGTTGATCTAGGACACAGGAAACCAACTGTTAGGTATGAAACTGTTAAGTAAAATATTCAGTAATGGCCTTCAGAGGCCAAAAGAGAGCATGTTGGCAATGTAAGGGACATGTAATACACATAGTTCACTTTCTGGGGACTGTGTTCTCAGTTCTCTAGCTTTTGAATGTTATTTGATAAGTAAAGGCCTCCCATGACTAGCACGTTACAAAAGCTGGGAATTTCTAGAATAGTTTGGGTTGGAAGAGGTCTTTAAAGGTCCAACTCCAACATGTATTGCACTTGCAAGGAATCCTTGAAGGGGTCTGCACTGAAGAACGGTATCAGTGGAGGCCTCATAGCAGCCTTCCAGTGTCTGAAGGGGGGCTATAGGGATGCTGGGGAGGGACTCTTCATTAGGGACTGTAGTGACAGGACAAGGGGTAATGGGTTCAAACTTAAACAGGGGAAGTTTAGATTAAATATAAGGAAGAAATTCTTTACTGTAAGGGTGGTGAGGCACTGGAATGGGTTGCCCAGGGAGGTTGTGAATGCGCCATTCCTGGCAGTGTTCAGGGCCAGGTTGGACGAAGCCTTGGGTGGCTTGGTTTAGTGTGAGGTGTCCCTGTCCATGGCAGGGGGGCTGGAACTAGATGATGTTAAGGTCCTTTCCAACCCTAACTATTCTGTGATTCTATGATCAGGTGCACTTTGGGTTGGTCATCTGGGTTTCCCCATAAAGTTACTTTTATAATTTTTTTCTAACCACTTTCTAAATGTCTTGTGTCCTTCTAGTTGTGGTTCTCCAATTCAAGTTTCAGAGGTGAAACTGCTCTCTTTTTCATCAGGCCAGTTAACTGTGTTCCTGCCAGCAGAGGTGAAATCTATAGGGACAGAAACAGATCATGTGCTGCCTTTGCAAGAACTGGCCATGAGGACTCTCTATGACATCTACTACAGGTTTTTAAAAGGTATGAAATCTCTGCATTCTTCAGATTACAGAAAGGGTGGAAGTGTGTTTCTGGCAGTGATAGGAACATTTCAAATAGCTCCTCAAAGGCTTGAGCAAGGATGAATATTTTAAAAGATTTATTTAATCAAATTATGATTGAAATGCTGTATTAGCACAAAAATGTCCAATGTCAAAAAGCAAAGATTCAAAGACTATTGCTAAGGTTTAGTGGTGCTTACAAACGGTTTCCTTATTGAGGACTGTACAAAGAAGAACGCTTTTTGCAGGAGGAATTCTTTAATGGAAATAAAGAGATGAGAAATACAGTTCCTGAGGCAAGATTAGATGCATCAGCCAACAATGCAACTTCTTGCCAGGCAGCACACTCCTAAACTGGCAGAGTTGTTATACATAAGGCAGAAGAAATGCTAGCAGCCCTTGGCCATTTCAGTACATACAGCGTGACAGCTGAGCTGTTTTAGTTCTGCCCCAGTTCAAGCTCTTTGCTGTAAAGTGGCCTTTGGCTTATGTGGTTGTGCATCAAGCAATCACATGAGTTAGCAGTATCTGATGATAACCTGCAGATTCACATTTTGACAGATTTAGATATATTGTGACTTTTCCCTATTTGCAGCATCTTGGGAATTTGTCAGCTTTAGAGGTGAAAAGAGAAAGCAGAAGGGTAGAGAGTTACAGTGGAGAGATTAGAGAGCTTATGATAAGGGGTCACTTGTCCCATGGCCACTGGAGTAAATCATAACTGCAAAACTACTGCTTTGCCAGGAAAAGTGCACAAGGAGGTCTGCAGCAAAAATGATGTAGGAAAGAAGCCTCATGTTTAGGGACAGGATAACCCCACAAGCCTGTGTTCATAGGAAGCTGTACTGCTTTGTGGAGAATGTATTTGTTGGCATTAAGAACATTACCTGACCAGTTTGCAGTTGTCTATTTTTGGATATTTGTGCATCTAGTTGGGAGAGGGGAGGTTTGGGAGGTTTTCCGTTGTTTCGGATCAGGATATCAGCTGCACCAAAATTACAGTGACGAATGCTGTTTCATTCTGATTTGCAAAATTCCAGTCTTTGAAAAGGAGTTTGAGAACATCAGCTACGAGATCTTTTAAATCATCAGTAACTGCTTTTCTCACCCAGTTGTGACTTGCACAGTAGTTCCTAGAATATGACTCTTTGAAAGTGGTTCCTGAAGATGCTGGTGAAGTCTGGTTTGAGAATAGCACGATAGCATTGCAAAATCTGTTTAAGAAATGGTTTGTAGATGGTTTGCACGAGGCTTTGAGGATTATATCTAGTTGCAGCCAAGGTGCAGAACCTGAAAAAGATGCTGAAATACATGTTTAACTATCTTGCCTACTTCTAGTTTGTAGCCTTTTAGTATGTTTATATATACATATACACACATACATATCTTATTCTGAACTACCTTATTAAAGACTATGTGCGTTACCAGTGGTAACACCCAATTTCAGTGGGTCAAGAGTAATGCATAGTCTGGAGAGGTGTAAGATAAGTGTGCTTTGGGGAAGCAGGTGGCACATGATGAAAGCAGCAGATTTCATCTATCACTGCCTAAATTTGCAGTTTCAAGGGTGCTGTTAAATACTTGGTGGCTGCCAGGTAAGTATGACAGCAGTGACCGGACTTTGTCTGACTGCAGAATGTGACCTTTTCTTTCTGACGCAAATGTACTATTCGTCATGCTTGTCACCTCAATCAAGGCTCTTGTGGTACATTGTGTATGGCGTTAAACCTTGCAGTGTTTGAAAGCTGAAACTAGTGTGATATCACAAAAATGATTTATCAGGTATTGCATCTTGTCTTGATTACTCAGCACCTGAACTCATTCACCTGCCTTGGCTGTCTCATTTTCTAGATGGAGATTAGCATATTGGGTTTAATTTAGAAAACACTCTGTGGCTTGGGCCAGACCTGAGAAAATAATTGCTTTTTCCCCTGAAATGACCCTGGAGTCCCTTTTGGTGAAAAGGATGGCATCTTGTGAACAGTGGGGGCACACTGAAGAGATGATGAATGTATTGATCTTTTTAGAGTGGCCTCCTTGGTTGGACCTGTGAGAATTATGCTGGGCTAGATTGTATTTCAAGTCATTCTAAATATTTCAGGTCTCTTTTTGCAGATGGGGGAGTTTGGGATTTTTAGTGAGCTCAGATATCCTCCTGGATTGGTTGCTGAAATATTTTAGTAAAATAGTATTGATATCCTTTTCAGAATCCTTGTATTGTTATTAATTACTAAATACTTCTCTAGATGATCTTTGTGTTTAAAAATGCTTTATGATTTATTACTGGGGTTTATTATTTCCTTGAGCTATAATATTTTCAACAGTTAATCTTATGCCCACATATGCTAAGCATACACAATTAACTTTAACTTCTTGAACTTAAACATTGAAAGCACCATGTGTTTCACCCTAACTGTGGTAATTTGTATTACCTTGCTGTTCTTTTGACAAAGCCATAAGTATGTGAGACAGCTGATTTTCTGAATTGTTCATAGATCATGCTTGTTGTGTTTGAGTTTATCATGCAATTGTTTTGTTACAAGCCTTTTTTGTCTCTTTTCATCTTTAGATTTGAACTTTCTGACTCCCATCTCGCTACCTAAAAGCCTCCTGGAATTGCTGCACTGTCCCTTGGGACACTGCCACCGCTGCAGCCAGCCTATGTTTACCATTGTCTACCCAAAGCTCTTTCCCTTGAGGGAAACTCCAATGGCAGGATTGCATCAAGGGTAATTATACAGGAAATTACACTGGGGTTTCATTTGGGAAGAAGAGCACCTTAAGGAACAAAGCATGTTCGTAAGGATTTCTTCTTTTCAACTTAGCAGCATTTCAGATCTGTCCAATCTGACAGCCCCTGTCCAATGGCTGTGAAAGTTGTCAAGTCTTTTATTTACAAGCCAACCAGAATACTGTTGTTGGACTCTTTAACGAGGGCTACCACATGTGCCTGTTTCAGACTGCTGTAAGCTAGTGAAGGGTTTTGGTATGATGGGATTGACTTGCTTGTAGTAGTGCAGTACATGCATGGCACTTCTGTGCCTTGGGAGGGAAATAGTACTGAACACCAGTACTTCCCCTGATGGTCTCAGCCCTGACTTCAGGAGAATGTCACCACTGAATAGAAGTGCTGCAGGATTAAAGATGGAAAATAGCTCTAAAGGCAGAGCTAAATTACAGCGTTATGCTGTAAAATACTCTTGTTTTTCTTTCCACAGTAATTGAGATACGCTGTGGACGCATTCTGCATTGTAAAATACAGTTAGTAGCAATACATCTCTTTAAATATATTTCAGTTTTTGTGGTTGTAGCAGTTGTGAATGTGTGTGCAGGATTCATAAGTGAAGTAGACAAGCCTACACAGGCTTCTTGAGCTGCTGGACAGTGCAGTCATAGACGGGACCCAAATCAGGGATACAGTTCAGGAAATTTTGCCCTCATGTAGAGAAAGATCTAATACAGCTGTAAGGTGAGCACTGATGATAAAGGTTTTCTTAAAGTCACTTGGAGTTAAAAGAGCAAATGTGATATTCAAGTTCTTTTTAGAGAATTCAAGTCAAGCTATTAGTTCCAAAGCATATGCCATAAAAGTCAGGAGCAGAAAAGAAAGGTGCTTTAAAAAGGAATTACTAGGTGTATGTAATACACAAGAATGCCACTTAGTTCTTGTCCTGTTGAAATCAATTGACTTGATGGCTATCGTCCATAAAAACAAGAAGCTGCTTTTCAGGAGGAAGATCTTTAAGAAAAAAGAAGAGACTAATTGACGATTCAGGTTGATGGTACCTATTTTACACAGCTGTATCACAGGTTTTTTTGCTGTGAGTTTGTGGCATAAGAGGTATCTGATTTGTAAGCAACTCAACTTCATGAAATGAAAACAACTTAGGTATGGACAGCAGCCACAAGGCTGCTTAAATACTAATTTGGAAAAGTCATCTTTCTTAGATCTAATTGTTGAGATAGCACACTTCAGCTTGCCATTCTGTTACACTTCAGTCGTGTGTTGAAACTCAAAGGATTTCATGTAGAGTAAAATAAACTGCTTCTACATTACAGTCTTCATATTCAGAGTGGCATAAGATGCTACAATCATGTTATGAAGAATTCTTTTTGAGCACTGAACAGTATCATTTTCTAAGGAAGTGATGGAGAACTACTTGCTGGTCACTAAATCCTTATATTATCTGAAATAATCCAACAATAGGAGAGTTTGGACTAGAGAACTACTTTCTAATTAATTGCTGAGCATTGTTCATTGTAGATCTCTGCCATTCCAAGATGACAGACTATCAGTAGACACCTTTAGGAATTGTTGAAGTTAGGACTCACAAAAGTATACCTTAGGGCTGTGTTGGAAGAACATTTTATTAACATTCTAAAATATATTAATTGAAAATACATATTTCTGCATGGTTTTAGCTGCTTTTAAAAATGGGTTATCATTCCTTCCCTTAGACAGGAATGTACTTTGTTCTGCAAAATGCCTTAACAAATACAGTCTTAAGTAGCTGACATTTGATGCAAATCCATAGAAAATGAGATCTAAAGAGAGTAGCCTATTCCCTTATCTCTGTAGCTCGTGCGCTTGACACGGTAAGATTATGTGGAATTGTAGAGGTGTGATAGCTGGTTTAGAAAGACATGAAGGACTGTTTCTGTTCTAAAGAGCTTACAGTGACCATGAAAACACACAGGGTAGGGATCCTGAATGTTTGAACAGCACTGATTAGCACATGCCACGTCCATGCCAGTAACTTCTGTCTGGATTTCCGTATCACATTCTATATCCTCTTATAGGAAAGGATAGTTAAGTGTTGAACTGGATTTATGTATCTGAAAAAGCACAGATGACAAGAGCACTGGGTAAAGTGAGATTTCTGGGTTAGTGAAAAACAGATCTTAACATTTTTAAAGCTGATATCTAGGTCCCTGCCAGGATGGGGGCAGGAGGAAGGGTCACAGTGAGGGTAGGATCTGGCTTTCATGCTGCCACCCCTGCTGTAGTGCTGGCACAGTGTGACAGCTCTGCCTGTCGGTTGGCCTTTCTGTAAATGTGGGTCCGGTTTGTTCGCTTGGCTGAACCAAAGGAGGACACTGGACTTCAGTTGTTTCATGCCTACAAGCAGTAATTTAAGAAACACGAGCAAACTGCAGCAAAGAGTGACCCAGCTATTTCGCTTTTAGCTGTTAAACTTACTGGCTATAGCACTCAGCCGCACCCTCCACAGAAAGAAAAGCCACATGCTGCTGCTTTAAACTGAATACATTAGAAACCAGGGGGGTTTTTGAGAACCCCTGCAGTGCTTCCCTGCTTTTGTATCAGGCACTCGTAGAGCAAATGAACCGTCTTTCTCTGAAGTGTCGAGATCAGCTAATCCTGTATTTTACAAACCAGCATATTGTCTGCTGTGGAATGGGGCCAGGAGCTTTAATCTTTACTGACAACTGTTCCCCCCCTTCTCTTTTTTTTTTCCCTAGGAGGACAACTGTTAGTTTTGTGGCATACTGCTGCTCCACCCAGTGTCTGCAGACTTTTGACCTACTGAGTTGATAAACATTTAAAACTACTCAGGAGTGCTGCCAGTTTAAAGCTGCATTAAACATCGTATCCCATCGGTACTGGAATACTGTGTGCGTGTGCCAAAGCAGCAGAAGTGCCCGGTTGGGAACACTAAGAGGCACTTACGTCCTGCCCATCAGATTTGGAAGAACTGCAGCAACTTTTCGGAAGTGTAAATACCAACCTTTGGAAAGCATTAACTTCTCTCTCCTCCAGGACAACATACACAGCAAATAAATTCACAAGCTCTGACTTCAGGGTTTCCAGTATTTTTCAGATGCGGCTGTCTTCAGGGTGACCCCTTGCATCATTTGAGGCATTTTCATTCCTCTAAAAAGGGGCAAAAAATAGGTTCGGTTATGACAAACAAGTTCTCTCTCTCCCCCATCCTCATTACCCCTACAGGTGGTTTCAGGTGTATGGATCTAAGCCTCTAGAAGCCTTTGATGAAGCCCAGCAGCTTTCCCATTGAATTTAGCTTTATTTTCTCCCTCTGATTTTAATATTCTCCCCAACAGAGTTATCCCAGTTGTATACCCAGTCTTTGACAATTACTTGTGGTATTTAAATCCACATATTAAAAGCAGATCTTTTTGTTAACATTAGAAGCCAAACTGATTTAATTGGGGTAACTAAGATGTATCTGGAGACTAAGGATCCTGTTTCAGTAAGGAAGGCTGGTACTGATGCCTACACCAAGTGGTCTTGCTCCAGCATGTTTGAGGGTGTGTTTTCTTTGTTTTCATGGCTTGAGTTTTTTTATTTTAATAAACACTTCCCCTTTTGCTTCTTTGGAAGAAGATGACTTTAGCAGTTTCCCTTGGATAAAATACCTAGGCCTATGATAGTTACTGTTTATTTATTATACTTTTCCAGTTGTAGACTGTAGATCTGCAAAGAGTTGGTCTTCATCTTTTTCTAGATTCAACATTTGGCTGATTTATGGAAGAGTGTCAGTGGAGTGTGTGCCTTGGAGAAGGCTGGAAATCTGGAGGGGTACGTGTATCTCCATGTGTAGGTATATATGCATACAGAGATAGCCTCACAAAAGGGCTCTAACTTTGTTTTCATGTATTAAAAGCAGATTTGGTGCAAATTTCCGCACACTATCATATTTGTGGGCATCCTTTTTTGTTAGATCTTGTTTGTTTTAAATAAAGGACAAAGGATGGAAAACAGGCCCCAAATGCCTGCATGACTTAAAAGTTTAATTTTACACTGAAACAGTCCATACAAAATTAGTCCCTCTTGACTTGTTCTGAAATATATAATTTTTTTAATACAGTGTGTTCTTTTTGTTTACTTTCTATTTTTTAGGTATAAACTACTTGTTGACTTAACACAGTGTGCAGTAGTTGCAAGCTGAAATAGATATGAATGAAACTGTTATGAAAATGGCAAGATAAAGAGACTTATTTGGTAGTATATTAGCATATGTTGTGGTGAGGTGTGCATACTTTGAAGGGAGGAGGCATTAAAATGTTTTCCTTTTGCCAAAGAAGCATTTGTTCCCGCTGCAGGCTTCCTGGCATCTCTTCAATAAATAGAGTATCTTAAGAGCTTAAAAAGAGTACCAAAAAGGCAGTTTTGAGGGTGGAATTTTTAGGTTGTGCATGTTAGTTGTAAAAGCTCTGCTGGTTTTATTGGGTTGGTTTTAGAGAGTTGAATTAGCGTTAAGAAATGTAGAACTTAATCCTTCAGGAATGCAAGTATCATCTACTGTTTAAGAATTGTGAAACTTTCTAAAATAAATCCCATTTATTAAATCTGCTTTGCAGTAGGGGAAAGAGCCATGGCCAAGCAGACTTTGTACTATTGGATTTCTGACTCTGTCGTTTCACTAATTTGTTTCAGTGTTGGTATCCCCAACAGCCCTTCCCACCCCGCGGCCTTTACCGCCGAAGCAGCAAAAAGAGTCTTCAGCTTTTTGTCTTTTCCTTCAGTACTACCCAGCCAAGATGTAAATGGCCCATGTACCATTATACCCATATCAGAAATGTGTAAGTGTAGGATCGAATCCATGTTTTTAAATGGATGACAAGAGAACTATGGGAATGATAAAAATACTTATATTTTGATACCATACTCTGATCAGGAATCTTCAGTATTATTTTTACCATGGCTCCCTCTGTCCTTGAAGGACGTGCTTTATTGGAAGTTGATTTGTCCTCTTCTTATGATGACTGAGAGGCTTTAAAGTACAGTTTTCTTCTGAATTCAATCTGTAAGTATTATTTTGGAGTTAAATCTTTTGATCACCCAAAAGGCACTGCATTTGTTTTATTAGCATTCAGATAGTAAGAGCGGAGCTTGATCATTATTATTTATTTTTAATTTTCTTTCTTCCCATAATCTAATTATTTTTTGAGTTCACTTTATTATTGTCTATAAGTGGAGTTCAGAAGAAAATTGGTCTGTTCTATAAGCAGGATGAATCTTAACACTTTAATGGATGATATTTCAGGACTGGAATGTCCAATGAATAAATGAATTAAATACACAATTGAAGCTGAAATGTCATACCCTATTTTTATAAAACAAGGAAGAGGAAAGGCCAATATATAGACTGGAAATGCAGCTTAAATTCATGTTTCTCTGATGGGGTATTTTTTAATATAGTGTTTATATTCATCTGTATCTTTGGGTGATACTGTTCTAGATTAATATAACTCCATTCTCACTTGTCCAAATTCTTCTAAAGTTGTTCTGCTGCAAGAGTATTTCGTAACCAGCTAAGATGAGAGCCAGCTATGCAAGCTGCAGAGGGGAGAGGGAGCTTCTTGCTGATTGAACTGTGCATCACTTGTTTTTCAATACAGGCATCACAATTCTTGGACTTCACTTTAATTCATTTATTTGTAGGTAGTTTTTTATTACTTGCTCTTGTTTGTGAGATCACATTGAGCTAAGATTTTCCTTGTGCGGCAAAAATACCTGGTTTCAGCAGTTGAAAAAAATGACCTTTTCTACAGAGCTTTTTTTTTTTGTCATAAAAGCAGATCTTAACTCTTTGCTTAGTGTGGAAGCAGGAGAAGTTTCTGGGGGTTTTTTGTAGGTGTTAGAAAGGTGCAGGAATAGAAATGAGAGAAAATGAGTTTTTAACCCACTGACAACTGCTGTGAGGTTTTTCTGATTAACTTCTAATGTGATTAAGGAGCACAGGCATCATTTTTGTTCCTGCTGTGATAACAGGCACTATATTAATAAAATTGGGACCCTATTGCTTATGAGGATAACTTTTTGTTCTGCCGCAAAGGAAGCAGAGGAATCTTTGCCGTTGTTTAAAAGTACTACTTGAGTGGTTTTACTGTGGACACTGTTAGATTTGGAGCACTGTGCTTGGGAATCTTCCTGTTACTCTCCTGGAGAATCAGAAATCCGAATGTCCTTTCCTGTGTGAAGAACAAGGTCTAATATCAAGAAGTCTGTATTTTTCTGTTTTGGTCTGATGCTTCTCTTGGGCTTTCATTGAAGTTCATTACAAACCTATTTACTTCGTTGCGGTGAGGTTAAGATCTTACACTGAGCAGAGCAGAGCTGATTACTGCCAAGTTGGCTTCAATTCTTATATATCGAATTCTGCTGAATCCCTTTTTCTGGCATGAAGGGAGGATGAGACTGTTCTAACACCCGTGTGGTAGCAGCGTGTCAGGTTTTACTGACATTACAGCCAGGCTGAAGACTGGAGAGTGACAAACCTTTCACTAGAGAGGATGCCTTTCTTTTGAAGGCCGCTGTGGCCACATCAGAGTATCCCTGATAACGGAAGGACTTCTGCCTTGATGTCAGTGGAGGATGGATCAAGTTTTAATTGATAAGAGAGAAGAATGTTTTACCATCTTTATATTTCTTGCAAAAACTGGGAAAATGACACTGAGGTCCATGCCTGCTGCTAGGCAGCCTCTCTGTCTGCAGCTGAACTCACGTGGGTCCAAAACATAACTATCTTTGCCTCTTACCTCCCTCTTAATGCTACTCATGGTGTCACAAAATGTTATAGGTAACTTGTGATGGAAGAGGCTGAGTAAATTGAATCCAGAGTTTTTATTACTTTTTGTATTACAGCCCTATTTTGTAAGAGACCAAAGGTCTGGTGGAAAGAAATGGCAAGGTTCATGTGAAGTCTTCATTGCTTTTGCTTTTATGTGCCCTTTTTTGGATTAAAACTTGAACTTGGATTGCAACTGAGTTTGTTCTATGTCTGTTGAAAGCATATGTGCATTGCTTTTTTGCTGTGTATTAACCAAATGTCACTTAGTGCGAAGGTGAGCTTGCTAGATGTTTTATTTAAATTTAGTGGTGCAATTTATTGTATGTGCTTGTTAATAAACTATATTTTTGGATAGAATTACGGTCCATTACAGTAAACTAAATTCTTGCTCCTGGGGCTATGTTAGAATGTAATTTACATTTCAGGTCATTTGCATAGTAATTAGCTAATAAGTCTCATGTCCCAAGGCTGAAGAAGTGGGGTGAAGACACTTCTTAAAACCCTACCAGGGCCAAAACACCACTTCAGTTCACTTATTGCATTTGTCTTGGATAATGTATTTCACCAGATCTTGCATAATAGGAACAAAACCCATATGGAAACATTACTCCAGACCCTTCAGTGGATTGATCAAAAGAAAAATAACTTTGAGTAGGGCTGTATGAAGTGCCACCCTGATAGTCCATGTGGCTGTGGTTCGTGTATAATTTACTAAGCAGCATTCAGCAGCTTTTCTTCCCCCTCATCTAACAAATATCATAGGAACAAGGTTGCCAAAAATAAGTAGAAATTAAGCATCTGTTTTTCCAGTTACTTCACTCCTTGCTGTGCAGCATTTTGCTTCAGTCAAAGCTGCTATTCTGTTATCTGTTCTGATGAGTTCTTGCAGTTGGATGCTGTCTGTATTATTGTACGTGTAGCATACCCACTCTTAAATGAGACGTAGGTTGGTCAAGGTGACTCTGAACATCAGATATAATTGATGCCTTGAAGGGTTCCGATAGCACTGAGGCTTCCCTGCTGCTGTTTGCTGGGAAGTTTACCATGTCTTGTCTTTTTAGGTATTTTACAAATGACAGTGCAAGTTTTCCTACCCATGCAGTGTAGGTAACCTCTCTTTGAGAGGCAGCAGGAGGACACAAGTCCCTTAGTAAGTGAGATGGATGGGGGAAAACAACCCTTAACCTGTAACTTTTACCAACCACTGCTGTGTCCCTTGTGAATAGAAAGAAAGAAATGGGAGAGCTTAACATCCTTTTCCTTTGCAATTAAAAGTACTTGGCATAGATGCAAGCTAAGTGGAAACTTCAGTGGCTGAATAATGCTATTGTATGCAGGAAATGAGAGGAGCTGAGCTCTTGCTTGGAAAGGCACTGGATGTTTTGTGACTTCCAAGCCAAGATTTAGGGCCGTTCTATGTGGTGACATTTTGGGAACTTGAGAGCAGAGTCGAACCACTGCATCTCTGTCCCCCAGCTTCAGTGATCACTTAATATTACAGTCAAGCCCTCTATTCTGCGCCGAAGAATCCTACTGCTATTCCCTGTAGCTGGCCCAGGAGCCTGGGAGTGGCCATTTATTACTGTCAGATTTCTCTTTCCTACTGCAGCAAGAAAGAAAGCAAGAGTTGACCAAATGCTTTCTTTATCTTCTGACATTTTAAACAATAAACCCCTCATAGCATGGTTTTTCAGCTCCTATTATGCCCTTCAGACGTATCCCGCTCCCAGGCAAAAGACCTTGGCGCATCTGTGAGAGATGGAGTCTTAAGACTGAAAGCAGTTCTGTTGGAGGTGCTGAAGTGACTTGACTTTCTGATGATGCCTTCCAAGTGGCAATCAGGGGCTAATTTCTCAGGTACCTCGATGTTCTTTTGTGTGTTCATGAGGAATGTAAATATTGACTTTCTGTGAAGAAAGCTGTCAGTCATGGGTGCCTGTTCTGTTGCTATATATGACTACACCTGCAGTACAGGGGCTAGTGCCTTGCAAGTGTTGTGCTGTCGTTTTCTGTGAACCTCATGAAGTCACAAGGTTTAAATTTTCTTCTTCAGATCAATTGAGAAAGCTTTCTTGTATTGAAAAATGCACTACTGAATTTGTTTATTGATTGGTACTACGGATGTTCTTGAAGTGCACTGTTATAACTGCTAATCAAGCTGTTCTAGTAGCAAAGAAGAAATGCATTCTGAAGTTCCATTTTGGTGCAGTTAAGGCCCACTGGAACGTTTTGTTTAATAGGAAACAGCATGGGCACGCAATTCATGGGAAGATGGAGATGTGGTCTGAAGATGCTGATGACATTGTCTAGATCTAATGAAAAAATACGTTTAAAAAGATAACCAGTGTTCTTTCTATGGGCAAGTATCAGCTAATAGTGGTATCAGATATGCCCCATTGTGCTTTTGTTGATCCGCCTTTTGCCTCCTGTGATTCTGCACTTGTGGCTATTGTATCAGTCTTACTAGGCTTCCTTTATACTTTAGAGTTCTAACCATTGATTTTTTTTTTTTTTTTTATTGTTAAAGCAATTAGGAGAGTCAAGCTTGAATATTCTTGGGTCTGTTTGTGATAACTCTGATTGCTTCGCTGGCACTGAAGGAACAGTCTGAGCATGGACTTGAATTTGGCTGCCTTTGCTCTTGCGTTGTCTCCGTTGGCTCTCTAATTTCATCTTGTAAAAAGCCAAATCAATGTAGCTGATACACAAAGAGAAGAATTACCAAGAAAAACAACTTCTAACTTTCTTCAGGCAGTGTAGCTTGGACCAGGCAGGGCTGGCAAGGTTTCATATTTGAATTCTAGGTAAGTGTTTCTCTTTAAAGTAGGATGAAAACCAGTGAGTTGTCCAGGCAGTGCAGAACCCCGTGTCTAAAAGTAGCAGGTTTAATGGTTCTGTATGTTCACACCTTACTGTTCTGCATCTTTATTTCTATAAAAGATGTGTAACTGCTGCAATAGGGAGTTAGTTTATATCTTACATCTTTGTAGAATTAATATTGATTTTATACTTCTACAGATACACTGGTTACTCTCACAGTATAATACCTCTTTTGCTTCTTTTCCTGTGTAGTTACAAATAACAGCTCCATGCTCCATTATCCAGTCAGTTCCCAGACTCTTGCTGTGGATCCATTTACACTGATGTTAAGGCACTGTGTTACCTGCACAGTGAGTACCACAGGTTTGTTCTTCATCAGGCAAAAGCACCTAATCACATTTCTCTACAATGATCTAGATCACAGAGATGCGTTCTGTTCTGGCTGCAGATGAATAGAGAATATCTAACTTAAATTAATGGGTTCATTTATATTAAATCAGTACTGCATATCAGGTTTTTAGATCTAGCAGTATCTAATCCTGGCTCTGAAGCTTTTTTTATGAAATATGGGGGCTTGAATTTCTCCAGTTGCTCAATCTAAACAGTAGGCAAGCTTATGTCTGATTGCTATTAAGGATACTTGGGGAGAAGGTTTGAATTGAAAACCCCTATTTAATTATCTCCTTTTTCCCTGCTCCCTCAAGGAAGCTCAAGTGATGCAGGAACTGATGCCTACTAGCTAGAAACTTCTTTCCAGGTCAGTGCAGAGCTAGTTCCCTCCCTGCCGTGTTGGTGTCACATGGTCTGACACCCCTGCCCCACTCACTGCTCTCTGGCCCCGAGCTGCGAAGATGAAAAGTATTGATTCCAGTCCATCTCATTGAAGTATTACCATGAGGTGTTCACAGACGTGCTGGGACTAGTCTTTAACTTAGAGGAACATTTATCCAGGAGGATCTAGTGTGTTACGTAGCAAGGAGCTGCAACAGGGAGAACAAATTTACTGTTTTCATTTAACAGTCAGTAGCCTGAGACCTTACCGTGGCTTTAGCAATTCTTGATGAATTTCATATGTGGATGTTCCTATTCCAGAATAAAAGCGTCTTGTTATGAAAGAATTTAAGTCCTCTAATTTCATTTGGGAATAAGTACATCCACACACCTGGTATTTAAATCAGAAATAACTGTTTCTTTATGAATTTACACTCTGTTGTGGATCTGATCTCGTGTCGCTAAATCCTTGTACTCATTTCACAAGACCTGATTTATTGTTTAAAATTCGTTTGGGAAGTACCCGGTTGGAAAATAAAAATTCTGCTTGCAAGGAGAAAATTGGGGGTGGAAATATAAAAATTCTGATACCAGTTGGTTTGGAAGCACTGCACTGGAAAACATTGTTACATGTCAGATCTGATTCTACCATTTTATTCGGAAACATCTGTCTTTTGACACTTCAAAAACTTTATTTCGGTATGTTTCAAATTGAGAAACACAGCTTTGAAACACGAAATGTTTGTTTTCTGCCATGAAAATGTCTTTTATGTCTCCCAACATCACATCTTCTGATGAAAACACAACTGGCAGAAAGGGTTTGGACTGACTTTGCTCTGCTCGGGTGCCTTCAAGGTAAGAAGCTGCACTCAGAAGTCACTCTTGTTACACAGCCCTCCTTGCTGGATGTGGTCTGAGTTTGCCAGCACAACCCAGGGCTGCCATGGGGTCTCAGCAACTGTCAGCTCTGTGTCCCTTGTGAGGTTGGAGAAGGAGGAGCTGATGAAGGCACGTCTTCCTCTCTGAGTTGTCTTTCTGTAGCTCTGAGGAGCCTGGTGTCCTTGGCCTGTTGAGCAGGATGGTGGTCATGTGTTTCCCTGTGTGACTTGCTGCTCTGGTGCAATGCTTTAGTTTAAAGCTTACTGCTTTTTAGCTGCATGGTTCAGCTGCCAGAGGGATGTTGCTGTCAAAGGAGACGTGTGCTTCCATAGTGCAGTGTGTGCACTGTGAATGCATTAGCAGAGGGGAGAGCTTTCCTGAAGATGTATTACTAAGCTCTTTAAGATTTAATGCTCTCTGGAAGTTCAAACCAGTGTAAGGGAAGGTTTAAGTAGCTTAGTGGGTTAAAATGATCCTTGACTGTGTCCTTCAGACAGTTTAAAGACCCTGCAGCAACCCAAGCGGCCACCTGTTCCTCTCCCAGACAAACAGGTTACCCTCCTGACCTTCATTCTGCCACACTTCAGTTTTGCCTGGCCTGGCTCCATGTGTGGAGTGATTGTTCTGAAGTTTGTCATTGTTTAAAATGCCACTTGCCAGAGTTTTAATGTGCACAGCTGCAACCTGAGCCGTCGCCGTGTGTTAATAAGACTAAAACCATTGGACTGACACCAAAAGATCTGCTTGCACTTGGCATGTCATAAATTAACATCATTCTTACCTGCCAGGGATGATTCACTGCTGGCTCAAAGCGTATTTAAACTTTAGAGGATGCCAACAAACTGGGCGGTGGTTTGACCTGCCACGTGGCCCGAGACTGCTGCTTTTCTCCTGGCCTCTGCCTTCCCTCCCTTGCAGTGTGTCGGGAAACAGAAGCTCTTTATGGTGTTATGAGAGCTTGTGTTTGTGTGCTGCCCTGGCCCTCCTGCCCTCAGCTGCCAAAGGGCTGGCCTGTTTGTGGGGAAGAGCCTCACTGGCTTTCAAATTCCTAACTGGATTGTTACCGCTGGTTTTGGGAGTGGTCCGGGGGGGTGTTAATGTTTGACTAGACTGTAGCCTGTCATTGCAGCAGCTTCTGAAGGCTTTCTTCCCACACATCCTCCCTACCCAAGGCAGGCAGGGCTGTGAGAGCCCCGTAGCATCCCAGAAACTGCATATATATTTCATGCTAGAGGAGTATACTTGACTAACAGCTCACAGCAGGTGGGCTAAGCTGGTGCCCATGCTAGGCAGCGTAGGTGGCGGAAAAGGATGCCCCACATGGAAATGGTGGAGATAGTGTTGCAGGGTTATATGCCAGAGGTTGAACGTGCTCCTCGGAGCCCAGACTCATTGGCTCCAGTGTCACAGTGACTGCGGGGTGCTGGTCTGTCCCTGGGGCTTTGCTGCTCTGATGTTTATGCACTTGCTTCCCTGCAGCGTTCAGGGGTCTGTGTGGTCAGAGGCTGCAGTGCTGCCCTGGGAGTGGGACCAGCCTTCTGGGCTGTTGCAGGGCAGAAAGATAGGAGATGATAAGGAATGAGGGACAGTTAAAGATGTTTTCACCGTTCCTCACTGAAGTCCATGGCTGGGTGAAAAGATTGTTATCTGGTGGACTGGGGAGGTATTCATGTATCTCCTTATAGAGACCTGGCTTTTTTGTAATGACTTGAGATTCATCTCCTCACGCTTTTCCGTCAGGGCTAATGTGTTCCTCATAAAATAATGTGAAGGCATAATGTGCTCCTTCAGTTAAAGCTGTTCCTTTGCTTTCCATGGTGTCTGCATTGCCTGTTTACCTTGGCTCATCCAAATCATTTGTTAAATACCAAGTTTGCATAAGCAGTCCTGTGCGGACTTTGGACCACTGAAGTCTCGCTATAGACATCAGGAGGGATAGGAATAGGCCCCATATCTGTCTGAGATGTGCTTGAATCTGGAAATCCAAAGTGTTGTGTGGAACAGGGTGTAACCATGATTTGGTTATGGGTAATTATGGTAGGCAATGCCAACTGCAGCCTGCAGTCCTTCTCATGTTCCCCACCACAGCTGCGCACAGGCTGGCAATTTAACCTTCGTTACTATTTCATTACAGTCATTACTTTTTCTTTGTAGCAGGAAGAAACCCAAACATAGATACAGTTCTAAACGTCTGTTATGTATGTACTGTGTATAGGTAAGAAATGAGGAATCCTGGAAAAGGATCATCCTATTCAGCAGGACAAACAGGAGATTAGGTAAGCCCCAGCTTACCTAATGACACAATTCGGCCTGCAGCATGCTCACCTCCTGCATCAGCACCACTGAAGCACATTGAGAGCAGGAGCAGAGGTTAGACAATGTCTGGGACAAAGGCTGCAGCTCTGCTCTGCTCAGCTTGCAGACACATGGTGGTTGCTGCCTGAGCTGCATAAAGGCTTCTGCTGTCTATATTTTGTGGGTAGTGCGGGTTGTTGGGTTTTATTATTTTCTCTTTATGCAAGGCTAACATGGAGCGTAGAGCTGGTTGCTGGGCAGTGGGGACTGCAGTTGGTAATAAAGGTCTGTTTTCTCACTTCCTCTATTTTTGTCTCTGGGCAGGATGAGGCACATCAGGGGAAAATCTGACTTGAAACAGAAGCTCAATTTTAAGTTGGAGTTAGACAGTCCTGCCGAGAGGTTTGCTTACACCACAGCTGTCATCTCAGGGCACATCGCTGGGACTGCTCACGCAATGGCAACCCCTGGGGTTTGGTGCCGCTTCTCTTCTGGGCAGCAGGTCTGAAGTAAGGCACAGTATTACACCAAACCCTGATCCCCGCAGTAGTGTGCAAAGTGGAGCTTTGGTGCCAGGGGCAGGATGTCTGCTTGGTTGTCCCCCAGCTCCCACAGCTGTTGTGGACATACTAAAAAGGTGACATATATCCTGCTGTAATGAGGGAATGGTCTCGATTGGACTCCTGGGTCTTCCACCTTTTCTTTCTGTTTCGGGCACCTACAGAAATTCTCCGTGTCCTTCCAGCACAGAGATGTCTCTCTGTGTGTGAGACCCTGATGGTGGTCTGTTATTTGCAGGGTGTTTTTCTTGCAAGGAGAATTTTGCAGGCACCAAGTGAAAACTGCTCTTTGGAAGAACTCTGGGTTTGGTACAAACCTCTGAATCTCTCCAGGTGAGTCTGTTTTCAACAAGGTCACCGGATATCCTCACATCTGCTCAGATGAGATGAGTGAATCCAGCTGAGCTGTATTTTATCTGTGCCCTCTCTAAAATGAATTGCAGAGCTGATAAATTCTTTACCCTTTGCCCCTGCCAGCTCTGTAAATTGAAGCTTCTTTCAAAGCTCAAGTGGAAAGTGCCACAGCACCACTGCAAGTGTCAGCTGAGAGACAGGCTGCAACAAGCCTAGACATGTACCCCAGCCCTACTGCTCCATGGACAGCATGGGGGGTGTGTTTTTCTCACAACTTCAGTTTGAGGCAAGAGAGAATCAGTGCTCAATACTGCTGGAGGTGAGAGGAAGGGCATCCCCCCTCCGAATTGCTGGTCAGGAGATACTGCAGCAGGAGTCTGAAGCTGATATTACTGGATTTGGGTTTTCTTGCTGGTATGAAGATGATCAGAATCTGGCCTAGGGTGAGGGTGTTTGTGCTTTGGCAGTGGGTGTGAAAGCAGAAACTCCAGAGGGTTGGGCGGCAACATGCTAGTTCTGTTCTCTTCCGTAGATGGCCTTCCGGAGACACGCTGGGTGAGTGGAAAATGTAATGAAATTCCCAGAGCCTCCTGGTGCACTACCAAGGTATTCTTGCCAGCTTTCCAGCCGGAGACATTGGTGCAGCTGTAGGGGCCAGCTCCACAGATAGAGCTGATTGCAGATTAACCCCCTCCAGAGCCCAAGGATTACTCTGAGAGCCGTTTTCTTCACCTGTGAAACAGCACACACTATAGCCACGGTTGCCTTTGGGGTACAATTAGCTGAGTAGAGGGCTCACAGTAGGTCAAGCTCTTTCCAAACTGCCTTTCTTTTTTTTTTTTTTTTTTTCCAAAGCTCATTTGTTTATTCTGGTTCATAAACTGAGCAGAACAAACAACAGCAGAAATGTGGTGCATCCCAAATTCTAGCTGTGAGGATGGGTTTCATGACCACTGCAGTCTGCAGAAGGTCTCTTAGATCCAAACCATCTGTGGGGCTCAGTGTATGCAAACTATTCATGTTGTCTTTAAGATTTACCAGGGAGCAGTGCCTTAATGTGCCAGAATCTGTAAGAAAACAGAGACCTGCACTACTGACGGTCCTGAGGGTCTTGTTTGAAGCTTCTATTGAATAGATTGATCATAGTCCTGCACCATTTAGTGGTGGAGAAAAAAGCAGGAAGGGGGTTTAACAAGTGTCTCATATGGTTTGTGTTGTCTCTGCTATGCTGAACCTTTCTTTCTGCTCACACAGCAGGGTTTTGCTTTGCCTCCGTTTCCTTTGTGCAGATGGTAGCAATAGGTTTCGTTCTCCCCCAGCCGCCAAATTAACAGCCTTGGCGAGCTTTCATTTGCTGGCTAGTTTTGGGTGGTGCTGGAGGATTGCTCCACTCAGTACATTTCCAAGAGTGGCTTTTTAACCCAAGCTCTATAAAAACAAACCTTTTTTTTTGGTTGTTTATTTGTTTGAGAGAAAGGACCTTGGGAAAGCAGATACGGGTTTTGCTTTGACTGTATTTAGTCCACTGAAAGAGTTGGCTTTGAGTTGCATTAGAATAGGAGATTGGCTTCTCGCACAGATCTCCCACAAGCAATGGGCTGAATTGGGAAAAGCTGGTGGGCAGAGGTACTGGAAACAATCTTCTTCTGCTATGTTAAAGCATATGCAGGAGGGGCTAATGAAAACTCTGGCCTCATATCACCAAACTCCACAGCAAAGCTTCCCGATCCATCCAGTTGCACTGATCAGCTGCAGAATTCAACAATATCCTGAGCTTGTGAATTTGCAATGTGATTTTTCTCTTCTGTTGCCCAGTCACAGGAATCCAATACAGTATCGAGGAGCAATTGCAGAAGGGCAACCCCTCACCAGTGGCAGTAGTAGCAATATTTAGCTTACAGAGAAATTAGTGGTCTCAACTGCTCCATTGTTACAGAAGCTGTTGCAAGTGGATCCTAACAGGAAACAGGTGAAGAATTAACATTTTTGTTTCAGAAATGGAACAACCCAACCCAAAGGAAGACATAAGCAGTAGGTTTCCTAAACCTTAACAGAAAGCCTATGGGAGGGACATAAATTGAGCCAAGTGCTCCAGACAGAGTCCTTGTGCCTTTACGGTTTATCGATAAATAGTGTGTGTATATAGAGTTTATGCTAAGGGAACTTAGCACAAATTTGAAGTTCTTTCCTTGCCTGCCTGCATGCCTTTCTAACTCAAAAAGCTCTGCTCTTGCAATCTTTCTGTAGTACAGCTGCATGTGTGGGCACATTTAGGTTGGCAGCTCTGTGCATACATGGTACATCTTCCCCTTTTGGGGTTTACTTCGTGGCAGAGACCTGTAATGTGCTATAGACTGCAGGACGCAGGCTTTTGGCTATCTCCTCTTATCTTGAAGATGTAGTTTGAAATACTCACTCATCAGGTGTTTCATTTAACCTTGGTTCTACTAGAAACAGAACCTGTATATCCAACTTCACTGCAATGCCAGGAACAACAAAAGATACAGAGCCACTGCTCAGCCTTGCATTTGTTCCTCACATGTGTTCCGGGACTGCTCTCCTCTAATCTCCTCACTGGTTGTTTTCATCTGTTGCTAGAGCCGTATGTCTCAGAAGGAAGGACCAGCTCTGCCATTTGAACAATCCTGCTCCATCTGCTGCTGCTGCTGCTCCTATTCCTGTAGCTGTGTATGGAGTGGCAACTCCGTGATGCCAGGGTTGCAGACACTTCATCAGTCTGTCTGTCCTTGCTTGTGTGTTCCCAATAAACCACGCTAGGAGAGGTCATCACAAACTTGCATTTTAGTGCTAGGCTTCAATGGTTCAAGTTTGTTAGAAATAAGATGTCTGCCATTGGCAATTAGGGCTGGGATAAAAATTCCCTGGGCATTCAGACCTGCATTCAGACCCCTATTGCTGGGGATACTGCTGTTGCTGTGAGTTAGCTCCCAGATGTGGTCTTTACAAGCCTGCTCTCACCATGAGGGATAAGATCATGGACAAAAACTAGCCAGATCTATTCCATAGTTTGTCATGTGTAGGCTAAACCTGTTCTGGGTTTAATTCTCAGCTCCAGCTAAACTTTTAGTTCAGTGGAAACAGTAGTCTGCACAGCTGGCCTCATATTTCATGCGTGGTATGGAAAAAGGAGTCAGAGACGCTTCTGCAGTTTTCTGTCCTTATCAATGTGCAATACTAAGGGTAAAACCAGGCATCTCATAGAGCATCAGAGAGGCCAGAAGGTCTCCTTTGCTCTGTGTGGGGTTTTATTGAGATGGATGTGGCCTGCACAGCCTGGAGCACAAGTTGTTTGTTTTAATTTAGAAATTAAAAATAAAACCATGTTTATTTGCATCAGTAAAGGGGTCTTTTTCTCACAGCTGCTTGAGAAGTGAGCTCTAGCTGCCAAGTAAAATAAGGTTTAATGTTACAGCTTGCACTGGGAAGAGCAGAGCTGGTAACTGCTCTGCAAGCAGCAAGACAGTAGTAGGTACAATATATAGAAATCCATGTGAAGAACAGAGCTCAGCTGTGGCAGGAAGGTGTTGCAAAATGCCAGCCACCTACAATGCGTAACCCCTTTGTTGTGTAGGTGAGGAAGGTACGTCCTCAGGGAGGCTCTTAGGAGCAGTGCTCTCTCCACACACTGCCAACCCGTGTCTGGCATTCCTGTTCTGGAAAGCTAGTTAGGAGGTGGCTAGAATCCCTGGTTTCCTTTTAGTCTCCTCTTGTCAAGCTTTGTGCTCTGGTGAGCCCTGGAAAACATGCTTGTTATGTTGGGCAGTGGTTTGCTCCTAAAAAATTGATGAGGAGAAAGCTCGTCTTCCCAGGTCTGCTTTCTCTTGCTGTGTGGACGTGTTCAGTCTCTGTGAGGTCTGTGTGGGCTCAGTGGTGGGGACTGCTCTTTGCTTGCGAGGTACCCACAAGCCTGCAGGGAGGACAGTTGTCAGATGGGGATCTGGTTCTTTTCATCCCTGTTCGAAGGCGATGAAGTGGTTTGTGGGGCAGTGATGACTGGCGTGGTCTCAGCTGTGTTTCATCTGACTCATCTGGTACAGCGGAATAAATGACCAGGGTCAAAATGTTGTTTTACTGTGGCTGAATCTGAAACCCTGAATATCAGTACAAGCAGTGTGGTGCTAGGTACTATATTTATTTACAGACAGAGACTTCCCCTGCCTTTAGGGAATAAATGCAGGAGAAAGAAAAGAGGCTCAGAGGGGCTGGACTGTTTGACAGCTACATGCAGGGGGCACACGTTCAAGTCCTGTCTTTTGGTGCCTACCAGAAAGACTGTCCTTTTTCTTGTTAGTGACAAGGAAACATGGAGGAGTCTGACCAACAGCTTGCCCAGATCACATGGAAAACTCATGGAGCGTCCTCTCAAACTGCCAGAGGGTCTTAGGTTGGTTGTGTTGACTGGACTGAATGAGAACAGTTGTCTGCAGAGCATTAAGAGTTATTACCCGCATCTTGTAGCATGACAAGGTATACGCCTGTTCTGTGTTGGTGTAGCCAGAAGCCTTCTGTTGCTGGCCTTCCTCAGCTCTGGATTGCTTTGTGACCAGAATTTAACAAGGCGGTTTACAATGGCTTTGACACCATTCGGGTAGATGGAGCTGGCTCAAAAAGCATCCACCCACTTGCTAAACAGTGCCTCAGGCTCTGAACGCATTAAACTTGCTCTGCTGCCTCATGCAGCTTTCCAGGTGGAGCTTGTTTTTGATGTTCTCCATCCCCCTTGACGCCTTGTGAGCTGGCTCGCTCCGACTCCACCTCTCCTGTCTATAATTTGTATTGTAATTTTGGGGAACCTGCCTGTTGCAAGGTTTTGTGCAGACAAAGAATGGTCTTGGTTTGAAAAATGTCTCTGTCCTCTCAGTTGGTCAGTGAGCGAAAAAGCAGGAGCAAGACTAATAAAAAAACATAGGACATTGAACATACTTGTTCTAAAACTCTGAGTCCAGTTAAACACTCATCTCGCAGGGATGGTAAGGTGGCCATTCGGGTAACTGCAAATTCTATCCCTGTTTTGTTTAAGGATTGGTGATTTGGTGCTGGATTTGACTTGCTGGAATTGTAAAGACATGAAATTTATGAGAAACCTTGATTGAAGCTCAGTTTGATGAGACAGAGATTCCAATTCTGAGTCAAGCTTTAAAAAAAAACCCCAACAATCATCCCAACAACGACTACTTTCTTTTTTTAACCAGAAGCATATAATCTTCTTTGGAACTTCTCCTAAGCACCAGAAGGGCAAAGAGGTGGATACTGTGAGCTAGCACAATTGGTGGCAAGGATCATGCTTTTTTAGACTTTACTAATGCAGATCTATGTGTATGCATGTTGTAAGTTAGCAAGGAGCAAACAGCTGTCTGCCATAGTGCCAGAGTGAGCTGGGAAATGGCCCAAACACAGAAAAGTAGTTTTTAAAAAAAGAGAGAGAAAAAAGTAGCTGTCTTCAAGTGTGTTTGAAATAATGAAAAGAATTGATGTGCAAAGCGATTAAGAGATCTTTGAGGATCAAAAGCCTTGATTCAGTTTTGCCAGTAGAACAAAACTTTTCATCTGTTCTTATGTGGACCTTAAAGTAGGGCAGAAGGGTGTAGTTTTTAAATGATTTCATTTCAAAATTTACTTTGGGCAGGGGGAAAGGGTTCTTTCTGTTTGTTCTTGCTCTTGTTATTCAGTGTCCTTAACACAAAAGGCCAGCCTGGCTGTGAAATGAAGAGCAGGGTCGTTCTATGAACTGATGGTTCATTAGTCTCCTTTTGATATGTCAGAACAGTAAGGGACCCTTTTATTTTTTTCTCCCCTTTCTTGTAATGTCTGTGTTCTTAAAACAAGACATCTTCCTTCATCATACTGCAGTGGCTGAATCGCTTTCAGAGATTTCCTAAGTGGGTTGTACCAATAATGCTAATCTTGCGCAGACAGAGCTGAGAGTCAAAAGTTGGATGCATAAGGAAGCCAAAACCAAAGGTTTGCAGTGTTCCCTGCAGTAAATCCTGCTCCCCAGCTTTGTGTTTATTTGGAGTTGGGTGCCCCCCCACCAGGTTAACTCTGTGTTTGTTTTCCTTGCTTCTCGAGAGCAGGACCATAGAGCAAGCGTAGCCCTGGGAAGGTGCGATAAGGAAGGCTCAGAAGTGCAAATCACTGGATTCCAGCACTGCGAGGTCAGAAGCAATGTGCTCTCGTTTGGGGAAGGGGTGATGGAAGCAGCAACAAAAGAAGGTGAAGGGATCTGGGGCTGGGAGAGCAAAGACTAGGGGAAGTAGAGGACAAAACGAAGGAGTGTCCTTGTCTTTGGGTTTCCACAGGGCACAGCGGAAGAGCTCCCTCTTCCTGTTCCAGCCTGCTCTAACCATTGCAGATAAAGCCTTCCTGGCAGGCTGGAGTGTCTCAGTGGTCCTGGCATCCATGAGGCGGTGTTGATCCATGAGGATCCACAGGCAGCATGGATTTGCTCTACAGCTTCTCCATACCAGCTCTGCTGCGTTACACACTGCCACCTAAAGGGTTACTTTTCAGAGCGGTCACAGCTGAGGTGCAGGCTTGTTGGGTTTAATGACAGAAATCCTCTCTATGGTGGAAGCTGTGTGTTGGTCCTGTCTCATTGCAGAAGACTTGGTGACAGCAGAGAGGTTATGCATTTCTGTTGCCATTGCAGATACTTTATTGAGTAGGCATCTGGTGCCACAACAGCCCAGGTGCTTCCTGTGACCTGGAGCACATGTACTTCTGGTGTGTGGTTTCCTGATGTGTCCTGATTCGGGTCAGGTGGTAGGTGTGCTTTAACCTTCCCAGCAGGGCATCTGTCATAGACTAGTTTAAAGCCTGTTCTCTCCTTGTACTTTGTCACCACCTGTGCAGCAGAGGTGGCAACTCCTATTTATGCTGTTACGGGAACCACATCCATATGCTACACGAATTCCTGTCATGCTCTAAGTGACATACCAATAGCAATAGTGGAAAGCAGAAAACAATTTCAGCGAGAGCTGAAAATTGTATATTTTCATGATAGAGCAACATTGTCAGATGCAGGCTGAAAAGAGTAACATTTCACTAACAAAATTCGTTTGGTCTACAAAATTAATTAATCTCCCTTCTTTGACCAGTCCCTAGATCAGCTCTTTCTGTCTGTTCCTAGCATTCCTATGCCCGTATCAGTGGCAGGAATGAAATGTCACCATTGAAACAAGCCTGGTGTCAAAGTTTTTAATTACAAGCCATTTTGTGAGCAATATGATGGGTGAAAAAAAATACCTCCTATGGGCTGGTGATTTCCACCCTCTTGGACTTGAAAGCAGGCATACATTAATTTACTGCATGATTTTTATACTGCTCTAACATCATCATAAGCATGTGTCATTTCAGCATATTATCAATTCTAATACAGCTGTGAGCAGCAAAAGGGAGTAAAGAGGCTTTGTGCCTGCCTTCAGGGTTGAGGGGTGGAGATTAGATTGTCCATGTATTATGTTTTCACAGTAGCTTCTCTCCTGGTGTTCGCATAAATAGTTATTTTTAGGAAGATCATATATTTCCCAGTGATTGTTTTAAATGCATCAAAGACCTCACTGATATAAGGCCTGTGATTTATGGGTTCCCGCTACTTTTTAATAGCTGAACTTAAATCCTGGATTCACTGAAGCCATTTGGAAAATTGGGATTATTCCAAGCTGGAGCAAAGGGAGGGAGACTGGTATTTTGCCAAGATCAGCAGTGATTCATTCCTGCATTCATGCTCAGCATCCAGTGAAGGGCAGAAGCTGGGAATGCTGTAAGGAGAGCTAGCAAGAGATTATGTTGAAGGTGAATCTGCCCTACTCACTCCCTCTGCTGCTAGATAAGGTCTTTTGAATGAGAAGGACCAAATTCTATCATGTTTTTCTTTCATCCTCTCTAAAAGCTGACTTACTTATAGAAGCCTCAAGCCAGCTAACTTGCCTCCTGTCTGTAAGGCATAGAGAGAATTGAATAGTGGCTGCCCTGAAGAATGTCCCTGTAGGGGTGAAGGACTGGAGAACACCTCAGGATAAATATACTTTAGAAATCCCTTACAAAGAGATGTTTTAGTGAGTGCTTGGAATGAAGCAATGTCTGTATCGGGTAGACCAGCAGTCTCTGGCAGTGTGAGCAGGAGCCCTGAGGGACCTGTAAAGGGACAGGGTGGACCCAGGGACTCATTGCTGGCACATTCTGTCATGCTCCAGTGATATTTGGCCTCTAGACACCCTGAGTGAGAGGTGATCGCAGAATAAATCAGATTGGTGATAGGATAATTTAGATTAGGTGCTAAGTCTTGAAGTAATAGAAAAAGTGGAATCTTGCTGTGGTCTAAGATTTACTGGGTTCTGTTTAGCCTGAGGACGTTTCTGCTTTCGGTGCCTGTGCTAGGGTTCAGACTCCATCTCCTAGGACAAACAGCTAGACAGTCACTAACACATAGGGGTGAGGAATGAAAGGGGCTGTCTGGCCATCCAGGAGCCCGTCCTTGCTCTGTCCTTCCCTTCTCTGTGCAGCTCAC